TATTTGTCTCGCCTTCGAACTCATGCCATGAATACGGTACAAATAATTCTCGCCGTCCAACTGATAGACAAATGTCTACCAAGCTAGCCTCTCCTGCAGATGGGTCGAAGGTGGTTAAATGCAGGATTATTGCAGGTGCAGAGGCTTAGAAGACTGAATCAAACAGCCGCAGCTATCGATCAACAAACATCAATCAGATTTACACCGGATTTCGGTTTTCATTGTCTTCAGCAGCAACGCCCAGTTTTCCAGTCGTGCAATTGTCATAGGCTGCGGATAGCCTCCAGCTGTACCTTTGACGATTAACGGGATTGGAAGCGCACCACTGTCTAACCGACATTCCACAAGCAGCTGGGGTGCCGCTCATCATCGGATATTCCACGAGGTTAGATGGCACACCGTCTGCAGACCCAACAGTGCTGGAGTAGCATCTGATGATTCATCCGAACCACTGTTTTGATGACTGTCAGGTCGTTGCGAAGCCGGTTTTACAGACCCGCAAACGCAGGCTAAGTGTTCGATGCTTGATCAAGTCCAGCGAAGACGAACTAACCGAATGAATAGAGGAAACAATGCAAATAACAGCTTATTCTCTAAGGATATAGCAGTTAGCTGCATTCCATCGCTCATTTGTTTTTTCAGCTGTAATTTCGGACTTTAGACATCACGTAAACGTGATCGCGTTTTCTCACCTATAGGGAAGTTACTGTAGTTGAGAAAAGATGCTCAGGTTGATTACTTCAAGATTAAAGCCTGCATTGCGTACTGTCAAGGGTATACTGCCAATTGATATGCGCTGCTTCGGTCAGCTACATTGGCGTTTGACGACAATGCATCAAAGATAGGCCTGCCTGTAATTGTTTGTTCTTTCAGCTGGTCGGAAAAATGGTTGAATATTTGCTTTAGCTTGAAGGTAGTAAATGATTAAAGCTGTTGATTGGGACGCAGATAGTTTCAGTGTAAGTGTAACAGCAGTTCGTTTGTATTCAACGGCAGTCAGAAATTTTGATTTTACAGTATGCTTGGAAACATATCATAGTATCCACTGTCATACTGGATTGAACCTTTTAAGATCCGTATTCAGGATTGCTGCCATAGTCATTGTTTTACTCGTTCTTTGGTTGTCATACTGAATAAAATTACACGTAAGAAAATTATTTCTGTAAAGCGCAATATTGTGATGTGACAGGTGGCAGATCGCTACTGAATATGGAAAAGATAGCCAAAGCAGTAGGTGGTGGTTATCACATTGCACAGTCAGTTACTAGGCGGGTTAAGGCGAATTGCAGCTCTGCTGGGTTCTCCCATGGGATAGCATGAGCGCAGCTCTCATTCATTCTGGTATGACTGCACTGGAACATTATTCCACTCATATGGTTCC